AATTACATGCGTCAATGAATCTCTAGAAAAATGAGTTACTGTTTTAAAATTTATTGATAATATATATAACTCATGAACAATTTCAGTAAAATAATCAGCTAGGGTATTTCAGGGAAAGAAATTCCTTTTTTCTGTAGAAATATTCATTAAAACGTACAGCTGCATATCTGAAAATAAAAAATGGTTATAGTAAACTGAGTTATGTTCAATATCAGTTTATGATACTATAAATGTAATTTCTTTAGAAGTATCCGGATTTCTGCAAATATTTCGAACTGAAATACTCGGTATAGTTCCATTTTGTATTTATAGTTTGTGACACATCGAGCTTCCATTAAAGTTTGGGATAGGTGGTGAAGTCATCAAAAATGATCTGTACAAAAGATTCAGATATTGATGAATTGGGCTTTTTTGAAATATGCTTCAATATACAGGGCACCAGATAGAAGCGTGGTGTATCAATGTTAGATTTGTTTTAATAAGTGGCATATTTTGTTTTCCATATTTAGAGTCTGTCAGAAAAGTTTTTTTCAAAAAATATTGAATGGTGCGGNAGGTTATTGTTTGCATTATCATTTTATAATTTAAAAAGAAAACTACATTTTTGATGTTACTTTTGGTATAACTTCTGAACGACTCAACAATTCTATATTTTTCAAAAGTACTTTCCGGGCAGAATCCAAACATGGAAAGCAAAATTTCTCATTGCATTTTGAAAACCTACAATTGATACGATACGCTTCTTCTAGGTCAACCTGTATGTTGAAGAATACTTCAAGAAAGTCCAATGCATTGATATCTAAAACTTGTATACTGAACATTTTTTGATAACTTCACACTTTCATTTCAAACGTCTGTCTATGACATGGCAAAATCATCTTATGTCCTAAATTATCAATTTCAGTTCTTCATATCAATAAGAATTGTCAATTCGTGGTCACAAATCAGTATTGATCAATTAGAGGAACTCATTTTGAAAATATTATTGAGAAAACAACTCCCGTACAATTTATAATAATAAAATCATAAATGACTGATGAAGTGGTGTATTGAAATCACACGTTGAAAGGTAAGACCTCGTTAGTCCTTAGCTCGCACAAGTTTCGACTTCTGAGGGTTGTCGTTCGTAGGGCTGCGATAGCTGGTTAACGGAAATGCATATTTTAAACATATTTAAACATATTTTAAACATTTCAATATCCGTTCCAATAGAGTACTCATTATGATCTATGTTATATGCAATAAGAGAAAGGCTCTTGTCCAGAACTACGTCATAGAAATAATGCAGTTCCAATTCAACCTAAAGTTTAGCACGATCACGTACAGTGGAATCATTCAAGAATCACACACTCAGTACAGACAACACACAAAAGATTCTAGCACTAGTCTAAAAAGCAGTTCTGATGGAAGTTGTCGCGAAAGTTATGCAAAACCTAAATTTGACATAAATATATGAAAATTTGTATGAATATTTTCCATTACTTTCCAAACTTTTTTTGATGAAAATATGCATATAACTGTTGGTCATTGCCTCAAGCTTTTTATATATCATTAGTAACTAGTACTGAAATGTGTCATTTACCACAAGTAGTACATTTTTCAAATACCAACTAGCTGAATGGGTTTCTTTAAAACTCACCCTATGTAATCAAATTCGATGTAGGAATGCTCTGCTTGAATAAGGGACCATACTCCCCAAAAAATGTGTGCTAATAGAGCAAATTGATTCACTTCAACATATAATTTCTCTATTTCCAAATTACTTGGTTCCATTTGATTGAACTCACGGAGGTATATCTTCAACCAATCCCTTTGAAATTCTTTGGTAGGATATTTCGCAAAGTCTGGACTTTCCAAACCTCGCCTACTCTTTACATTATAGATAGGTTTACTTACTTAGAGTATAATATCTGGAAAGGGTAAATTTGTTATAGATTATAATCTGCCAAACTCTTGTAAGAGGACCGAAACAAGGTTTGTCTTACTTTTGAAGATAGTTAGCTAATAACATTTACAATAAATATCTACCAAACAATGCATTCAATACTTTTTCTTGTAAATGTGTCAATAATAATAGTAAACGTTTTCACGCACATACTAAAAATGAAAATATAAGGGATGAAAATGAAATGAGTCTGATGATTTTGATACATATGTACTAAGAAAATGAATAATCGGAATTTAAAACATTCATCTCTCACAGCGTTCCTACATGGCAGGATCTGGCAAATGCTTGCCGAGAAACAACAGTTATATCCGACAGACATTTGTGCAAATTTCCTCGAAGAGAAAGTTTTTTCAGATGCTTCTCGTTTGCCTACAGCAGGACCTCCCTGAAACCAATCGGATGATCACCTATAGACTGGCTTCGAGGTGTTACTCGTCGTTAGTACAGGAAAGATCGACAGATCCGACCAAGAAAGCAGTGTTTCCGTGAGTCCGGGATTACCTCTACACTCCAGGCATATACGAAATCTTCATCTAAGACACGATATATTTCAACTCTAATCGAAATAGTTATTTTCTTGGTACGTGTCAGACTTAGACGTAGATATTAGACTCACTTGTTGTATGTTAGAGTTTTAGAACACGAGATAATTCTTTTCCGCTTAGGGTTCTGTTCATGAGATGGAACTGCTACTGTAGTTAAAACAGATTTTGTTTCAGGGGAAGGTTTGGCATATGCGGTGAATTGTCGGTGAAGTCAGTCAAATCCTGAATATCCTGCTGGTTAAAGCTGTCCTGCACTAACAAGGAGTAGTACTATAAAACCAGTCTAAAGGTATCTCACTCGATTGGTTGTGAAGAAGACCTGCCGCTGACTGCCGACAAGCATCACCAAGAATTCTGTCTGTGAGGAAAGTGTACAAATGTTTGTTGGATGTAATTCAATATCCGTCGTTGGTTATTTTCGGCAGGGATTTGTCAGAATCTACTTAATATTATTGGAGTTTTTTCCCAACACCAAATGGTTATTTTTAACACCTCGAGATGTGTTTCGATCACCACGTGCCGAGGTGTTGAAAATAACGATTTGGTGTTGGGAAAAATCTCCACTAATATTCATTACTACACCAAAGGTTCCAAACAGTACATCATAAGAATCTACTGTGTAGGAACGTTTCTGAAGGCGAATGGTTCCAATGTCAATCCCAAAAACACATTTATTTTCCTAATAAATGATTTCACTTCAATTGGAATTTGAAGTGAAATCATTCTAACCTAAAAAGAAAAATCAGTTGGTGAACTTTCGAAAATAAACTACCTATTACTGAAAGAGACAATATTTGAACGTGAACGAAACAAAATTATCAGTAATAAAATAATTAAGCGAAAATTTTATAGGAGGATTTTGACGTAACCTACAAAAAAAATGATGATTTGGGCAGAAGACAAAATTTCGGTTCCAAAAATATCAAGACTATGTAAAATGACTTGTGATTCTTGTTCCAAACTTTATATTTTAAAGAGAAAAAGATATATTCAAAAATCCAGAAGATATCTAAGATCTTCAGTAAACCCAAAACTCACAAGAACATACATGGGATTTCAAGGAGATCCAAAATTGTTGGAGAAAGTACTATCTGACTCTTGACCCCAATTTTGTTCCACAATACGAAACAGAGGAGGGTTCAGGCATACAGGATGATCCCAAAAACCAGACAATTCAAACAAACACAGCAAATAAACCAGGAGATAGCAAAAAGATGGAAGTAACCGACCTGAAGAATAGCGACAAAACTGTTATGCAAAATTTGAAGAAACAAATGGAAGAAGATATCTCGGTAAAATACACCGGAAGATCCATGCTTGTATACACGCGTAAGCGCAAGGACCATTACTCAATCGTTAACACGTACATCCTGCCAGGGGACAAAACACACGCGTTTGTCCTCCGGGGGTTAGACTATGCTCCACCGTTAGAGAAAATTGAGGATGACCTTAGCAACGAACGTTAAGTCAACGTATAGGCCGTATATAGATTGAGAACGGATAGACGTCCCCTTTATTAGGTCGTAACCCACAAGAACGTCACACTCAATTTTCAGAAACTCAACGTCTCACGTGTCCTTTATACCAGGGTCTCATGGGAGTTACAAATTAACAGCAGGAGGCTGGTGTAATGTCATAGATGCCAGCTTTGGTGTGCTGAAGGACACCAGACTGCCGGAAGCCTAGAACAGAGCCGTTCATTCGTGCAACGAATGATTTCTTCAACTTCATGCGGGTGCTACTAGCCCACTGGAGAAGTGGAACGCGTTTGCGACGTTCGCAGGTGTTATCAGCAATTGCAACTTCTAAATGTCTATAAAGGCATGCATGCTGAATGTAAACGAAGTTAGTAAAAAATACTCCAGTGTTGTTAACTCCATTCATCCTCATAATGTTTCTATCCGAAACTAAGCTGCAACAGAAACAAACTACTAGGTTTCACCACTGTCCGGATAGACCGCCCTAGTGGGGTACCTATCTTGATAATAAAAGGTATCGCACATAAGCAGATACCTCAGTACCGGAGCAGCATCGAACATATTGCTGATGGTACCTGCATACAACAAGCCGTATGGACGCTTCACTCACATGATTTGGACAATCTGTTAAACATCAACACTGCCCATATTGTCTGAAGCATGCGGAGGTGGTGTCATCCATAAGTCTGGAAAACGAAAAAGTCTGCACTGCAGCTGGAAGTTAGCCCAAAAACCGTATGGAGAGTTCTACAGAGAAACCTCCTACACCCATTTCACATACAGAGGATCCAAGCTCTACTAGCCAAGATTAATGTTTTGCAGTTATAATTTCTGAGAAACATTTGAAAAACAACCACTGATATTCTCGATCAGAAAACAGATTATTGTGGAGTTAAAATGAATTATGGGAATTTTTTTCACAATGAAAGAGTAGATCTATAACTTATATCTCAATGATTGATAAGCAAGACTTATGCCAAGTTGTATTTAAATCTCAAAATAGTGGAATTTGAAAGTGAAATTGATTACCTTTTCTGTTTCTCTTCATCACAAAAAACATCTGGGACCAGATCCAGAAACTGCTGTAATTTGTTCCATATCAAAGGTTCAGGTTGAACTTTCTCTTCTCTTAACACGTTGTGTAAGTTTGCCATCCTTTTGGCAACCAAGTAGTATATATTTGGTCGAATTATGGTATCACAGTTTAAAGTATTTCCAGGAATGAACCGGTAGGCTAAGCCATTATCAAAAGTTGCAAAAAGATCAGGGGCCAGTCCTGCCCTGTTCAATAAAATTATATTTCTGGAAGATTATATTAATAGTGTTATAATGAAATCATTATAAGGTATAAAACAATTATTGTGTCTAAATATGTTTGTAAGTCTTGTAACTCGGGAAAGTTAACTAGAATGAATGAAACTATATCATTGGAATCATAATGTCGCTTAATTCAGATTAAAGATAATGTGAGAGTATGATTTTAGAAGCTGTATTAGCCAAAAAGGAGAAATAAATTTGAAGATGGCAAGAAATGTATTTGATTATGCTCCTTAAATGAAGTAAAAAACAAATTGGTATGAGACCTAGGAAGAAAACTAATTTAGATAAGATTTTCATATTTGCTAGTGTTATACCGAGTATTACTCAATCTAAAATGAAACAATATAATAACATCATTCTGAATAAACGTAGCCGAATTTACCTATGATTTTGAATTTGTTACATTTTGTTCAAATTTTTCATAGCAGAAAGTAAGATGTTGTGGAATTTATAGATAGGCATAAATTATATTCTCCCAGAGTTTGAATGCCACGAACATTATGGTGAAAAGAAATTTAGTTATTTGATATTTTTTTGAATTGGCATTATTGTATAAGTATAGGCCACAACCGCCCTTTTCTCTTTGTATATATAACCTGTAGTTTTATTGGGTTGAATATCAGCCTGATACAAGAATTTTACACTTTTTCATCTCCTAGCCTGATCATGTTCAATTGAACATTATTCATTATTGGCTTCAATATTCATTTTATCGGGAGGTGAGCCTTATTGTAATCTAAATAGGTGTCTATAAATATATCTAACTTTGGCTTGATAAAACATCACAAGCTTGTATTCGAATCGAAATTCGAAACATTCAACTCTTCCAACGTCCCTACACTTTGGGGAAATCAGACTGAATTTCATTTCTGTTGGAGTTGCGGTGAACTGGATACTTTTTGTCCGCTTGCGGTCTTGTTCACGAGGTGGAGCTGTTTTTTTGTAACTTGGGAGCTGTTTTTTAGTCCAAGTCTCCAGAAGACACTGCAGCCTCTTAGGCTTATTGCGTTTATTCTCACATCTTCTCATGACACCCATTCCATCAGTCTCGTTCCCTGTACTAGTTTGTTCAGGTTCCGTGTTGGATGTTCGTCATATTCTTCTGGGCGTAATTTTGTACGTCTATATATTGCCTGCCTCCTGTGATTCAGTGCCTCACATTTGCATAAGATGTGTAGAGCTGTTTCTATCCCTTCGTTGCATAGTCTGCAGCTGAGGTCTCCGTTGTACAGCCCCATTTTATTCAGGTGTCCTCTAAGCGGAAAATGACTGGTTAGTAACCCTGTAATTATTCTGAGCCGATCCCTACTATATTGAAGTATTTCTTCGGTTCTTTTCTCGGACGGTTCCCTAATGAACGTTCTACTGTCTTTGTTGCCAGGTACTTTTGTCCAGTACTCTGTGTGCTTCTTATTGGTCCATGTCCTAATCTGGTTTCGTACCAATGATTTTGGTACCCTCAGAGCTGGTTCAGGACCTGAAGTTGATGATCCGCGTCTAGCGCATTCATCAGCTTTATCCATTACCTGTGATTCCTGAATGCTCTGGTTAATTTGTTCCTGTTTGCAAGTTCATTCAGTTCTTCATGGCATTCCCAGACCAGTTTTGATGTCACCTTCGGGTTTGTCCGAACCCCTAGTGCCCTCTTGCTGTCTGTAAAAATATTGATCCGCTCATTTCTTTGAGGTCTCAATTTAATAAGCCTTGCACACTGCAAGATAGCATACACTTCCGCCTGAAAGACAGATGTGTATAGTCCTAGCGGATAGCTGTAGTTTAGATGTCTATCCGCTCAGTATATTCCAGCTCCCGTTCCATGTTTGGTCTTCGATCCATCTGTATACCAGGTGTTCTCTCCAAACATGTTTTCGGGATGACTAATGATCTTCCACTCTTCACGGCTTATAATTTTGGCCGTGAAGTTTGTGTTAAAGGTGTACTTCGGTGTCATGTGGTCCGTGAACATATTCAATATGTGCTCCTCCACTTGTTCCGAGATTTCTGTTCGGTCCGATCTTTTGTAGTTCGGTGAATTTTCCAGTCTGGATTGGCCCATCCTGGCCTCCCCCATTATCACAAAGTGTAAAGGAGGTAGATTCAGGAGTGCCTCCAATGCAGCTGTTGGGGTAGTTCTCATTGCTTTCCTCATTCCCAAACATGCAAGTCTTTGCACCTTGCCTAGTTTGTTGATGGCGGTCGCCTGCTTCATCTTTGGCCACCAGACCAGAGATGCGTATGATATCATGGTATATTGGCTATACACCATCCATCGTGTATAGCCAATATACCATGTCTGGTTTTAGCCCCCATGTTTTTCCATAGGTGCGTTTGGCGAGCATCAGTGCTACCTCCTCTTCATCCTGTCCAAGTGTTGGTTCCAGGTCAGTTTGGAATCTAGGATTACTCCCAGATATTTGAACTCCCCCGACACTTGAAGGTGGAGCTGTTACTACTACACTTTATTCAACAGATTTTTTCTCAGACGAAGGGTAAAAATGTTAGGACTTGTAACTCAGTAGTATGTTATTTGAACTCAATTGCGGTGAACAAAATCGAATGCCCATGAAAGACTTATCCAAAAAACTCAAATGTCTCCCTTATCAAAAATAGTTTGTTGATGAAAATTTCAGAGTATATTCCTCAAAACTATGTCTATTGATGTATTTCAACGACTTCATTTCAATAATACGGAAGGAACGTATGGTACGGAGATCTGTTCAAACACGTCAATAGACATACTCTCAAATTTTCATCATTAAACTACTTATTTTTGATAATTGAGAAATTTGACTATTTTTGAATGATTAAGTTTCGAATATACGGAACAAATTTGTTTGCACGGATATACTCTGGATTTTCATCGACAAACTATTTTTGATAAGGGAAAATACTTCATTTCAATGATACAATCTTGAATATACGGAACTATTTTTTTTACATGGAAGAAACGTATGGTACACAGATCTGTTCAAGCACGTCAATAGGATTCTTTCAAGAAATTGAATCTGAAATTTTCATCAACAAACTATTTTTGATAAAGGAGAAATTTTACTTCACTTCAATGATACACACTTGAATATACGGAACTATTTTATTGCACGGAAGGAACGTATGGTACACAAATCTGTTCAAACACGACGATAGAAATGCTTTCAAGAAGTATATCCTGAAATTTTTATCAAAAAACTATGTTTGATAAGGGAGAATTTTGAGTTTTTTGGATGAGTTTTCCTTGGTATTCAGTGTTGTTCACCGCAAGAGAGTTCAAATGACATACTTCCTAAAATTTCCACCAAGAAACCAATTTTCCAATTCCCATAAGCCACCTGTTTTCGTACAAATACATTTTTCTTAAATAATATCATACTCTCATTTCACATATTTTCTTGTATTAATGCTTGTATTTTGTATTGGGATAGTTGGCTGACAGAAATAGATTATCTAGAATGCTGACTTATTTATCCGTCATGTTTCAATGATATTTCGTGTTTTTGATTTGATTATGTGCAAACTTTCAACACTGTTCAAAAATTTTATTCCAACCCTTTCAGTGATATAATCAGCCTACGAAAATTTTCAATTCACAAAATGAAATTATAGAAATATAATTTTATGTTTTGCCATTTGTATTGTTTACATAATGTAAGTAGTATTACTGATATATATACATGGATTTTTTTTGTATCGTCTTGACTACCTACTATTACCAAATGACCATTAGGTAATCTCGATTGTAACGCAGCAGAATAAATCCACCATTAACTAGATATATTTTCGCAAGACAAATATCTAGTCAAAGGTGGATTCGAACTCACCACCACTTTTGGATCGTGGGTCGTGCACCTACCACTGCGCTATTTCACCGGTTAAAATATTATTATATTTGTCCCCAATGTTTTTGCCAGTCCTGATGTTCGAGTAGAAAAATTCATTTGAAACAGATAAATATTACTCACATTCTTCGCATTGATATCTTACCTTGTTTCTGCCTTCCTGTCGATGAGCAAATCGGTTTTGTTTCCATATACTCTGACCAAAATAGTTTCGCTTTCATCCGCTTTCTCGGACTTGCATCCCACCAATTTATTGGTAATGCCATCTGTCAACAGCTATCATATTCATCTTTTATTCGAAAAAAATCAAGTTGGGATATTTTGCTAACATTTCAAAATATAGTTTGAGTATTTTAGAGAAATTTTATTCGAGGTAGAACTATAGCACCATATAGAAGTAAACACAAGTAAGTTCACTCTCCGCCATATTTGGGTCAAGATTCCCCACCTCGAATTTTATGCTAAGCCGACCTATAGCGCAACCGACTGAATCTGATGCGTTCACCAAGCGAGCCAAGTTGAGGCATGGAATATTATTACAGAGTGGAGGTTTTTATTTGTGAAAATTTCGTTACTAGTTTTAAAATGAACAGGTGTCAAGCTGTGGCTTGCTGTAAATTGCAGGGTAATGTCAGTATTACTTTTTTTTCGTTTTTCAATTGACGAAAAAAGGTATGTTTTTCCAGTATTTATTATGTAAGATTGAAGGAATGAATATATAACGAAAATCATACAATAAATTGTTAAATACCATAATAGTGGGATCATTATTATTCAACATTTTTTAATGAAATTAATGAAATTGAACTTTACGAATAGTATATGCCTCACAAGTAAATATGTAAAATGACAAAACAATCGAAGTTCCAGTGGAAATCCACAAAGGAAAATAATTGTTGAATCACATAAACTTTTTGATTTGGCTAGTATGTATCTGTAGGAAAAAAATTACTTCTACAGAAATCTCTGCCAAACCAAAGTATCAAATGTATATTCAAAATACCTTTTTTGGAGCCTACTTTCCATTTATATGTTCCAAATAATCTACTATAAATAGCAAACATGTCTATTCTTACATTCTGTCATCAATAAAAAGGAACATAAGAATTTCATTCGATTGACACACTTCATAATCAACAAACTAGGCAACCTAAAACTAAGAGATCTGTATTTTATACTGATTTACAACACACAACCCAATAATATAAAAAAGTTATTTCGGAAAAACGATTCAAAACCAAACTAAATAAACGTTTGCTAAACTACATCTTTCTTGTCTATCTTCAAATTCTGATTCAATCTATTTAATACCATTTGTTTCGATGAAATGAGCATTAAGTCACACTTATTCTACAATATAGGAGCGGATAGATTAGTTGGTTTCGAGAAATAATTGAACAAGAAAACGGCATCCATAGCAGAATATGCCTTGGTAGTCGTGGCAAAAAGGCATACATTCGAACCGGAAACAGCCTGTTGTAAACTTTTTTACCAATTCATCCACATCAATACTGAATATAAAAAGTATTGTGATTAAAGCTCTTAGGCAATTATCAAAAATTGGATTGAGAGTTGGGGGCATCATTTCAGATTTAGGTTCTAATTTTTATAAACTTGCCAGAAAAGATTTCGAAGTGACTGTAGAGCGGTCAAATTTCTTTGTTGATGAGAAAAAAATATTTTACTTTTTTTATACTCCTCATCTGCTGAAATGTAGTCGAAACCATTTTTATGATGACTTTTTGAAATTTGATAAATATACGACGAACAAAAGTCATCTTGAACAACTTTACGACTTGGATAAGGAAAAACAATATAGACTAGCACCCAAACTTACTGTTTCTCATTTATTTCCAACTAACTTTCAAAGGATTCAGGTTAAACTAGCCAGTTAAGTTTTCAGTCATTCGGTAGCTACAGCGATGAATAATCATGCCAGTTTCAATCAGATACCATCAGCAGCAATAGGGACGGCTACATTCATTGAAAAAATGGATAAAGTGTTTGATATTTTAAATTCAAATCGATTTGATGATGTCAAAGATTTCAATAAATCTTTTTTCAGAACATCGAAACAATTTTCTGAAAGAAATGAAACAGTAATAACAAAAAAAGGAAAAAACACGACAGGACAAATGAGATTCATTGAGGGGTTACAGATAGCAATTTCGGCATTTCTGCAACTTTTGGAAAACCTACATATTGACGAGGAATATAAATCAGAACTGTGTGGAAAATTATTTTAATCAACTGGAAAATACCTCATCTTGTGTAAAGAATTCGTCCTTCGTCCTTCACAAGATGAGGGACTGCCAATGGGATCGCCACTTTCACCAGTCATAGCCAACATATATATGGAGTGGTTTGAAACTCTGGCCATTGAAGAAGCCCACAAGAAACCTCGAGTCTGGTTGAGATATGTTGACGACACTTTCATAATATGGAACCATGGGAATACTGTCGACACAGGTTTCCGAATTTACGAATTATAATAAATTTAACATTCAGTACAGATCATTCTTGAACTAGTTGGCGACAAAATGTTTATTATGCTTTATCGTTCTCTAAGATATCCGTCGAGAAAAAGGAAAGTTGAAACATTTTGCTAATAATCGCTTGATATTATTTCCACCACTAGAAAATTGAACAAAAAAACAGATATTGATAGTAACTGATACATCCTCAAAACAAATATTTATTATTTCACCCTCTTAATATAATCATACAGGGTGGACTTCCTCTTTTCCTCTCGGGAATGTATAGATGGGGTTTAGTATCACCAGTACTTCATATAACTTTTGTTCCTAAAATCCTTCGTTACCAAGTTACGTGCCCTAAAGTTACAAAATGAAAACTGTTTTTGTTTGATAACCTTTCAAATGAATATTCAAAATCAACCAAATTTTGGTGATTGACTTAACAAATAATGATGAGCTTACATGCAGAAGTCAGTTGTTATGCTACAAAGTCAGAAACGGACTACCCCCGATGCAATGATTATGGACATACAAGATTGTTTACTTTTGCGATTTTGTTAGACACGTCACGTGATCTCGTGACATAACAGTGGTGACTTTGGATTGATTCGGTGCTGCACTTTTGAATTTAAATAAACAAATTTTAGGTAAATCCCTTATTAAAATATTATTTTTATATTGGAAAAAATACTTAATATAAATGGATTAATACTAAGTAAAACATTTTCTTTTGTGGATGATAGG